TTTTTTTTCGACTACTTTGTAAAACCGTAAACTTTATATATATATATTTTTTTTTGTTATGCCTTAGTATTCAATATGTATGTATATAGCCAACAAACGTATTGAGCGTATGATTTGTCTCAATACTTCTTTGGCGTTTTAGCTTAAAAGTTAAATCACACAATTTTCGTTTACTTTATATGATTCCAACTTAATTTTACTGCAAAGCGGCGTTTGATTATAGTACTTAATTACGTTTATGTATGTATGTATGTATGCAGCAGAAGCAAGTACGTGAAATTAATTGTTAATTTTTTTTTAACTTTTTCTTTTACTTTTTAAAGTTCTAATAGCTTCGTTTATGCTAAGTTTTATTTTGTACATAAAATTGTTTGCAGATTTCGTTTACTTTTTTCCTTTTCCTCAACTATTGCTTAAATTTGCATACTGTCGACGTGCTTTTTAAGAGTTCAGCAGCGAAAAGAGGCGTAACCCGTTTTTGAAATGTACAGAATTTTTATGAATTTTTCGCAATTTATCGTTGCTGATTGATGTACGAGTATGTATGTGTGTACATGCGTATGGCTGTAATAGCTCTGATTTTCCACAATAATCCGCAGGTGCTTTTCTTCTGCTTATGAGTTGGTTTTGAGTTGACGCTGGTGGGTTGAGTTTTAATGCTTAGAAAATTGTTTGTTAAAAATCTATTTTGATGTTTCTTTGATTTCGTTGCTTTACGACAAAAGGACGTCTGACTTAATACGTACAGATTTTTCACTTAAATCTACATTTGTTTCCTTTATACTTTTAATTTTTTTGTAAAGTTTCTAAAGTTTTCGAAATATTTTTCCCAACTCGTTTTTTTTTGTTTGTATCCTTTTGATAAATCAATTTGTGCGTTTTGAGTATTACAGATTTTCTCTACAGCGTTGCAATATGTCCGCCGTATTCAGTGGAATTTGAAGTTGAAGAATCACAAGATTTTTTTTTCACACTACTTCTACTTCTACTGCTACTTTTTTGTGTTTGTTCTATTGAAAACCTTTTTAAATATTTTGCATTCTTTTCTTTGCAATCTATTAAGACAAAAAATTTGTGTTTTGTACAAAAAGCACTACAAATTTAGGCCTTCGTTAGTCACTTTTATTAAAAAAAAAAATTCGTTCATTTGCGGCCGCCGCGCCCAAAAGTATACTTCAGTTATATTGCTGCGTACAGCTGGCTCTATGAATTTGGTAGGTAATTTGATTCGGTCGCTTTGCAAAAGCGAACGCTGAAGTAGCGTAGAGTAGAATGTGTTTTGCCGAACGAACAAACGAACGCAATCGGAAATTTTAAAGGAACTAAATTTGAGATCCAGGAATCAGCTAGCCAGAGGTGGATTTTTTCTCAAACAAAATACGTGCGCTACGTATCCTCCGGTACGGCTGCGGCGAAGAAAACCTGTGGTTGCGGCGGCACGCCTGCTGCCCACCAATAAAGGCAGGCTGACGACAGGCAGCAGCCCGCACGCACGCATGTAAGCTATGTATGTATGTATGTACATTATAGGGTAAGCGCTGAATGTAGAGAGCGCGCGGTGTGTTTGAGAGATGGAGAGAGAGTCTTTGCACAATTTGTAATTTGATTACCGGGGTTGAAGGACGACGCGACAACACGCGGCTGCCCAAAAACAATAGGCGTTCGCTTTCCTCCGTGGTTTGCATTCAATGCAATAAAAAATCAAGCTGTTGCAATTGAAATATAAAAAAAACTAATATGAATGCAATAATAATATGAATGAATGAATATTGCAGAGAAAAGAACCACCATTCAATCTTATTTAGACATTTATTGGCACAAAATAGCTCCATAAAGCTGTCTATTGTTAGGCGCTTGCGCTATTAAAGGATAAAATACTCGGTGTTGCCGCTCACTTGTTTGCAGTGTTCGGTCTACTGAAACTCGTTTCAGTAGTAAATCACTCCAAAATAGGAGTAGAAACAAATTTTGTTTTTCGCTACCGTGCAGGTAAAAATTTTGAAAATTTCGCAGGACAAGTAATTAGAAAAAGCCACTATGGGTGTGAGCAACCGCTCTTCAAACTTTAACTGAGTTGTGCTAAATAGGAAATCCCTTAAATTTTTTTTGATTCATGCAAAAATAAAAACGCATAGGAATGTTTCTTATTAAGGTAAAGTAGAACTTACCATCAAACCTTTTCTTTGAGGAGCTTTGGCTCTGGACCTCTTCTATTTTATAAATGTACATCTTTTTCTGCATTTAATTCTTAACAAACTTATACGGCAATTCTGGTTAAGATAGTTGCAAGTCTTTTGTCAGACAATTGAAAGACAGTAGGCAAAAAAGTTTGAAAGATTTTGTTTATTCGAGAGAACCGAGGTTTGAATCCTTTGGGCAGCGGATTTTTTTTCTTTTTTTTGATTGAATTTTGTTCTAGTTTTAAATAAATTTTCTTTTTAATTTCATTTGATTTTCAGAAACTTATTTTATGTATTTTTCTTATTTTAATTATATTTTTTTCTTTTCAAATTTAATTTTCTTTCGGTTTTTTAGACTTTATTGTTAAATTTTTTTTTTAATGTCATTTAATTCTTAGGGGCTATATTAATTTACTCTTTTAAACTTATTTATTTTTCTTTTTTTGAAACAAGTTTAATATAAATTTATAGGTTTTGTTCTAAAATAAAATTATTTTATGCAATTAAATTTTTAGGAGGTGTATTTTTTCAAGTGTATTTCTTTTTGTGGTTTTAATTTAATTTAAATTGTTAGTAAATTAATCTAACTTTTAGAAACTTATTTTATTCATTTTTCTTTTAATTAAATTTATATAGATAAAATTTTCTTCAAATTTATAGTTTTTGTTGTGTAACAAGAAAAATAAATGTGTTTTATTTAATTTAATTTTGAGACCTATTTTATTTATTTTCCTTCTTTTAAGTTGTAGCGTTTATTGTTAAAACAATTATTTTTATTTATTAATTTTTAGAAAACTTATTGCTAAAAGTCAAACAATTTGTCTTTAGAAAGACAGAAAACAGTTTTCAAGCTCTTCGCCAGAATTGAAAGACAGTTGCCAAAATTGCCCTTATAGTTAGATTATACTCCGTCATTTTATTAATAGGGTTTTCGATTTTCCAAAAAATTCAGCCCTTCCATGGTGCAAAATATGTTTGATGTTACACTCAATCTTGTAAGTGTTGTTTTTTCCCCACTTAGGCTTATTTAGCTCACGCATTTCATAAAATTGTCCTTTTAAGCAACTCATCTGATTTTCAGGGCATTTATCTCCCCTGACAATGCTTCAAAGGGCAGAGAATGTGCCCCTATTTCCTTACTAGGGTGTAACACTTTAAGAAATGAACAAAGAACTTTTTATCACAAGTGAGGGTATATTTTTATCACTAAGATTTTATTTAACTTGATTTTTTTTTACTGTACCCCGTGGATTAATTTAAAAAAAGGATTAGAGGAGCAGATTTCAAATTGTTCTACCACGTTCAACGTAAAGTCCGAACACAGTGCGTTTGTTTTTCATTCGCCCTCTCCATTTGTTTATTATGGTTTGCCGAAGTGGCGACGTAGTGTAGACGCGTGTATCCGGATTTTTTCATACATATGTACATACATTTCGTATTTCATGGCTGGCTATCGAATTGCCCGATTTGATTTTTCAATAAACAAAGTACACCGGAAATTTTATTATCTAATTAGATGCCATTAAAAGAGATTCAATTACTAAACATTTACTGTGTATTAAAACAATTGTAAAGGTATTAAGAAATTTAATTTGTATTTATATTTCTTCACTAGCAAATATATATACAAACAACATCGACGTATCGTCACTAGACACGAATAAAGGCGCGAGCTCAAAAGTTGAGGCGAAAGAAGACGCATAAAAAAAAGTTTTTTATAAGCATCTTTTTTCGCAAAATTTTTTTAAACGCCTTTTTTCGCCGTCAAAACAGTAGCGTGCCTTTATTCGTGTGTAGTGACGACATATTTAAAGACACACTAAATAATTTTTTAACGAAGAGGTTGTTTAAGGTCTGACGTTATTACTACCACGTTTGGTTCTGCGGATGGCGTATGTACTGTTGAACCTGGTCATTAAGGCTTATGTGCATATTTTTGACATTAACAGGGGAATTCTGGCAGCTTTCAACTTACCACAGTTATTTAAGATAATTTTTAATTCTGGAAACTATCTTGAAAATCTTTTGTAGCTTTCGAAAGACTAATTGAAAGATCTGCTAATACGATTTTAGGGTTATTCTGTAATAAGTTTTCTAAAAATTTAATTAAACACAAAAAACTATATTTTGCTTTCTAAAATAACAGAAACTAAAACATTATAATAAAACAATAAATTCTACAAATTAAAGAAAAATTAAATTAAAAAAGGAAGAAAATATTAAATTAAAAAATTAAAAAATAGAGTTAGATTAAAAAAGTAAAACAAGTTCGCAAAAAATCAAGAAATATCTCTTAAAACCAATAAAATCTAAAACTTAAAAGAAAATTATTAAAAAAAAAAGAAAAAAATAAATAAATTAAAAGAGAAACATGAGTAAATAAATTGACAAAAGTAAGTTCCTTAAAATTATATGAAATTAAAAAAGTATTTTTCTTTAAAAAAATAAATTCTACAAATTAAGAGAAAGATAAAACTAAAAAAAATATAAAATGTTGCTAAAATTAAAGTAAAAAAAATATTTTTCTTTTTAAAACAATAAAAACTCAAAATTACAAGAAAATTTTAATAAAAATAACTTAACAACCTTCTTCTTTTTTGTAGTCGGTTAAAAAAGAAATAATAGGTATGTATAGTAACTTTTCCAGTAAAAATTGCAGCGAGAGTGTAAAAGCACAATAGAGCGTAAAAGTGAGAAGAGAAAACTAGCAGAAA